ATATTATGGCTTTTCCTGTTAACCAGCTGTGAAACAAGTCCTTGAGATGTTTCTTGTATTAAGATGCTCTAAATGTCAGGCTGCGATCGAACGACTCCGACTGCTGTGTGCTTTTCACGGTGGCATTTTGCTGTGGAGCTGTTTTGTGCAGGTGTTTCGTATCTCTCTGTTGGTGCTTAATTCATGTTTTATACTGAGGTGTGACTCATAACTCTCAGGAATGCTGTGAAAAATCAACTTTCTTTGCTGTTGCTCAAACATAACTGAAGCTTGAGTCTGTTGCTTTTACTTCAGCTAAAGTTAACTCAGCTGTGTTTTCACTTGTATTCATATTCTCCTTACTGTGATTTTACAAAATTTAAGATGATGATGGACTGGTCATCATTCTCAGACGAGGTTATTGGGTTTTAAAGGCGCTTGAAAGTGTGAGTGGATACATTTTCTGACTTGTGGTAGAAATAATGCAAATTGAGTCTACATTATGTTCCCAGTAAAAGAAATATCCCTTTCTAAATTCTATGACTGACCTTCATTTACAGCCAGCCAGGTGTTTTCTCACTGAACTTAATAGCTGAGTTTTCCTTTTATTCCACAGTCGAAGTCTTCAAATTGTTTTTGTAAAGCACATTTTCATATCTGAGAAGCAGTGAAATTAGTTGTTAGCAGTTATTATTAGAAAGCAGTGAATTATTGGCCACTTCTACATAAGATAAATGGTTAATCTGGAATAAACCAGATTTCCCTCCATATATAAAACAAGTAAGAATGAAGTTTGGTTCCAGAGGCCTTCAGACCTGTGAACATCCAATAAGAAATGTTCAACTTACCTCATGTATAGATTAATAAATGCACTTTAACACTTTTGGAACTTAATGTCTTGTTCACATTAAGTACTGTATTTTTGTGGTTTTCATATTTTTATACTTTTAGATAGTTTTATGTGTCATTATCAGATTTGTTGCAGGTTACATTTGTTCCGATCAATGAATTCATGAATCAGCTGTTTGAACTGTAGTTACCTTTCTGAGTAACATGACGGCAGTGGTCGTCGTATGATTTGGACTGTTGTTCCTACACAACTCTCCTCAGAGAAAGCATAAGTTTAAATGTAGCTAATTAGTCATTTTTTGAACAAAAGCGGAATATGTGGTTCTTTAATAGCCACACGTGCACATCTAAAGTACACAGTGTGACATTTGGTGGTTCAGACAACTTTGTAAAACTCCACCACTAAAGACAATAGTTAAGTTACCATCTGTATTACAACAGGTTCAGATAAAGAACACACTTTTCCCACACAGCGCTTTGAACCAAATAAGAAAAATGTTTATGAAAATACAGAGAAACTGGCTTAACACCAACCACGGTTGTGTCTCCTTTGTCAACCAGCTTCTCTCCCATAATTGCCATATCTTCTAGACTCAGAACATGTTGCATTCGATTCCTCCCACTTGCAGCTGCCTTTTATTTTTGCAGCTACTACTTTTGTTCTCACTTTACCATTAATCATGTTGCATAGCCACAGCGAGGCTCGCTGAACATGCAGGGATTTGACTGCGGCGGTGGCGTAGGTTTGTCATCACGAGCTTCCTAATATCTTCCCAGTTCCTACTGTAATGTTGACCCCACCATGAGGAATCACATGAATTACATTACCCGCCGTGTGTAGGCTGTGAAATGAAGATGGCGCATGTGCACATGCACACAGACTATCCCACATAGGGTGATGAGGTTTCTGTCCAAGTAACTGCATTTACTGTAATGTACACACATGCACAGAGCAGATTCTCTACCAATATAATTACTGGATGAGCTGCCGATGCTCCCGCTGTGCCGTTGTCATAGCAACGCCGACAACCCACCTCTGCAGGAAGAGGAGGAGGAGGAGACAAGGGGGAGGATAAGACGACGAGCAGAGGATGACAGGAGAGTTGAGGAAGAGGAGGAGGAAGAGTGAGGCGGTGAGAGAAGAAAAGGGAGATTAGAGGGAGAGATCAGCGAGAACTGGAGGTGATGTGAGGACAAGGAGAGAGAGAGTGTGAGGAAGAGGAGGAGGACAACAGAAGAAGAATGTGGAGGAGGAAGAGGAGAGTGATTGGTTCCAGAAAAAAGAGAGGGCCACAGTAAAGAGGAAAGGGCCAGATACAGTGTAGAGAAGACGAGAGAGAGAGAGAGAGAGAGAGTAGGTGGTGTTATAACTGGGAGCAGCTGTAATTAACTGCACCATTCAATTAAATTACGAAGACTTATTAAAGGGAAAACAACATTTTTGAAGGTTAAAGGGGATTAATGTCTTTCAACCGACGGGTAACAAAGGAAAACCTGAATAAATGAGGGTGAAGGCACCCCCAACCAAAGGGCACGAGGGGTCACTGAATGGTCTGATGAGGATGAACATGATGTGAATCAGATGCTGTGGCCTTCACAGTCACCATATCCCAACCCAGCCAAACACCTGTGGGAGATGTTGGAGTGACGTGTTAAACAGCGTCTCCACCACCACCATCAAAACCCCACATGAGGGAACATCAGTTGGAAGAACGGCGTTCGTCCCTCCAGGAGAACTCAGTGCCACGGCGCACGGAAGCTGTTCTGGTGGCACGTGCTGGCCCAGGCCAACTTAAGCTTGATTCCTGGTTGAATTTATGCAGAGCATTTATACTTGCGCCTGGTGTGTATGTGTCGCTCAACAATTACGCCGTTATTTTTAGGGCTTTTATAGCCTTTACTGTATTTATGGTGAATCACAAAGAGAGAGAAAGAGAGAGCAGGGAGGTTTGGATAGAGAGAAAGAGAGAGCAGGGAGGTTTGGGACAAATGTCAGCAGTCAGACTTGATCCGTTGACATCATGCGCACAGTGTGCTGGAGGGTATGTGGTGCATCACGCCGCGATCGCTCAACTTCGGAGCACCCTGATTGTCTCCTTTTTTCTGACTGTGCATGTAACGCTGGCATGTAGACGTCCTGAGTTAGACCATACATTGTTTAGGAGTGGTTACATGTTTTACTTTGTAAAAGACAGACAGTGAAAAGGTGTGATTTTTATTTTGTCACAAAGTGGTTTTGCTTTGTTTCCCATTTATTAAAATGTTTTTAAGCAAGATTTATTTTTAGAGTGATGGACTCTTAGTGGCTTTTGACAGCAAATCTACTTACAGTATCTCTGAGGCTAAGTGTGTGTGTGTATGTGTGAACAGGCCACAGATAACTTCATGCTGCCCATTTTATTTATTTATTTTTGGCCTGGTGAACCTTAATGCCTGTGATCCTCTCCTGTGATTAAGGCCTATGCAAATATAATGGTGTCCTATGACCTATGAACGTGTGTGTGTGTGTGTGTGTGTGTGTGTGTTTGCATATTTAAATGTGCAGTCTCATTTCTGTTTTTGCGGTTGAGTACGTGAAATACACAGTTTTAGAAGCTCCAACTGTCCGGCTCATGGACACTGCTTTTTCATCTATATCATAGTCAACTTCACTGCTCAACAGTCAGACAGGACAGTGAGCAAAAATCAGCCTGTCGGACAATTTGTAAACAAGCCCAAAGTCTAAAGTGTGCACAGGTGAAAATAAAGGTGAACACACCCACTGTGCTGGACAAACTGTAGGTCAGAGTTGAATCAGACAGTAAAACATGTTCACTTCCTTTCATGTGTATATTTTCAAAATAAGTCCTAACAAACATCACAAATCCTCAAACAGAAGAAAACCTACAGTGTCTTTACATCATGAATGTTCACACATTCACTTTCTGTCTTTGGTTCCACTTCCAAATAAAGCGCTGGGTTCATGTTACTTCCCATAATGGAATCGGTTTGAGCATGTTGTCGTGTCATCAAACCTGAGGACAGAGACATCGAAGATATTACAAGTTGTAAAAGCAGCATGCAGTTTAATCTTTCTACTAGTAGATATAAGTTCACCTGAATAGGTTTATTTATGTCATTAGATGAATGAAGTGTGTGTGTGTGTAGTCCCCTGATTTTGTGACGTATGTCCAGAAACCATGCACCCTTGCATTTCTGCTGTTGTCACCCATGCAGTGCTATTTTTATCCCAAGAGTCATGAGTACTCCTACGTGCAAATGTGTGTGTCACGGTGTGTCATCAGGTTACACGGTGTGTAAGTGGACTCCTCTTTGTCCTAGTTGATCATTTTAGACACAGCCACTGAAACTTTCAACAGGGGGGTCGGATGCTCTGTACAACCTTTTCCACTGACACACATTCTCACACACACACACATCAGTGAAAACTAAAGAAATATTTTTTGACAATCTTTCATAATGAACACAAACTAAACAAAAAGTAACCCAGTAAACTACAAAAACGTTAGCTTCAGATGCTAACACGTTCAGAAGGAGGAACGCCACATCTGGATCCAGTCCTTTTAACCCTCTCCATGTCAAACAGCCAAACCCATGTTAACCCTGGTTGTTGCTCTTTCTTTGTCCCACTCTCTCTGTGCAGAAGACGCCACCTTTTCACTCTGGCAGGCACTGGTTCAGACTTTTAGCTGCCCAGAGCTCCTCCATGGCATGCCATGGAGGGGGGGTAGTACAGCTAAGTGACACATGATTAACAATTTTAGTTAATGCACCTTGAAAGAAAATGGGAATAGTAAGAATGATAGGGTGAGAGTCAGAGAATGAAACATGGAGAGAGAGATGCCTGCTGACTCATTCACTGACAGAACAGATCCGTCTCTCCCTTGTCACCCCAAAGTGCTGCTGGCAGTCTCTTCACCAAGCTGTTCCCAGTTCTCCTCAACCAAATATCTCCAGCTGAACCCGCTCAAATGCGCTCTCATAACATGAATAATTAATCCACAGACTAAATTATACTGAAATCTAGTTCTCTCAGTGATGTGGCTGCTCTGTGGCGACAGATCGGTGTCACAGATCAGGATGACAGTGCTGAGTTTTGCACCAGTGGATAATGTGTCTTGATAATGATAACTCTGATTGTTAATAAAGCCTCGTTTTGTTGTTGATTTTAGGAAAGCGATCTCTCGTTCAGGCCTCCAGCACCTCGGCCCACCCCAGCCCTCCCTGCCTCCTGCATCCAACGGCCCCAATAAGGAGCTACAGACCTGCATGGACTGGACGGTCAGACATGCACATACACTTCATATAACTGTTTTGTTTCTTAAGTGTATTTGTGTCTTTGCTTTGTACATTTTTATTGGGGGTGGGGGGTTCTAAAATTTAAATTAATGTATAAAATCTTCATTTTTTTATTTGTTTATTTACTTTTTATTGCAACAAAACAGCATGGTAACAATTATTTACAGTAGAAAGCAGAGAAATTTTAAATGTGGTTTTTGTGTGAAGGCT